CGTCTGCGTCCAGATGAGCTGGTCTCCCCAGCCTGCGGGGGAAGGACAGGCGGCGCGTTATAAGTGGGACCGGAAAACAAGGGTTCGTGGCCTGTCGCCCCCTCCCATCTGCCGGGAAGGGCTTGGAACGGGCGGCTTAAATCAGGAATGAAGAGAGGAAGTACTAAAAAAAATGTATGTGCAGAATGAGTTGCAAGAAAATTAATTTATTAGAATGGACTCAAAACTTTAGCAGATTGCTCTTTTTAAAAAATACTTGGTTTGGGTTTTTTACCTCTGGAGAGCGTCTGAGGCAGTTTTGGTTTAGCGGTAGTCTCCTTTGTCTCCTTCTTGCCCCCATCCTTTGCCAGCGCACAGGAGACGGCAAGGAGCAGCAGGAACAGGGGCACGTAACTCTTCTCCATGGCGGCTCCTGCAACAGACGGGAGGGCCTGCCTGACGCCGTGCCTCTGGGGCACACAGCACGGGGGGACGGTGGGGTGGCAGGTCAAGGCGAAAGTATGCGGCCCGGTGAGTCAGGGCTGAAAGAACCTGCTCCGGGTGGGGGCCTGGGCGAACCTCAGGGAAGCGTGAGGTTTGCTTAGCGAACTGCCGCAGAGGGCCGGGCTGCTTTCTCCTGCCCTGTTCCTGCCGTTGGGCTGTGCTCCTCTACATTTCTGTCGTCTTTTTACATGCGTTGAATGTGCTCAGTGAAACAACAGAGTTTTGGCAGTTCCAAAAGTATTTAAAGGTTCTAACAAATTCGCAGTTGTGCCTCGATCTCTCAGGGCTATTGTAACCAGCAGCAGGTGCTGAAATAGTAACTTGTCTCAACTCTTCCTCCATTTTGCAGTGGGAGCAACCCAGAAGTCAGAATGTTAAGCCTGGCTTTGCAGAGAGCCATTGGCATGGGCACAGCGTAATGCTGTTGTTGAAATTTCAGATTCTGTCTTCCCCCGTAAAAGCATCATCTAATGCTTAAAAGATAAACCCAGGTTTAAACCCATAATAAAAAGAGCGGGGAGGAGTTGCTGGGTGCAAGAGATCTGAAATGCAGTTTGCCAGTTTAAGAAATACAAAGCAGAGGGTTTTTCCTGAGCTGGATGCTGGGGCATGGAAATGAGACATGTCTGATGGGAAGTTCCTCAGTGTTTCAGCTGGGATGCTGCTTTGAAGGGGGAAAACACTTCAGTAACATGACCTTATGTTTTGTTAAATTTCCTCCGAGAAACTAGAGTCATGGGTATGCTAGGAGGACCTAAGATGTTCCAAAAGCAATACGGAAAATTCAATAGATTCATGCAAGAAATTACAGCAGACTGACATTTTTAACATTCAGACAATGAAAGTGAAAGTTCAGGGAAATAGAAGCATTTTTCTGGGTAGGAACTACAGGAGGCAGCATAAGCTGATTTTTCCATCACTGGTACAGTGCTCTCTCCTACTGGGATGTCCAGTAAACCTCAAACATCCAAAGAGTCACTGTTTCAAGAACATGAAATATGACTTTTGCAGCAGGCTGCTTTTCTGCCCTAAGAAAAGTCTCCTTGGCAAGGAAGAAAATTGCATAAATTTAAATGAGAACCAGTGGATTTTCAGGGTTGCTTTAAGAGTTGTTTTGGCTTGAGCTGTATAGCAGAAATAATGCTTCTCTAAAACAAAATAAAAAGAAGGTATCGGGCTACCAGGAAACCAAAGACCAGGCAAAAATTTATGCTGCTGTTGATGCAAAATGCAGAAGGCAATGACAGAGGAATGTTAAACCTGCTCTTTAAAAACATTGCCTCTGGAAAGCCTTGTGCACTTTGCTAAGTTCTTCACCACCCTCAAAAAAAACCCTCCTCTTCTGGCTCTTTTAACCTGCAAAGCCAACATTTCTCTATCCCTTTTTCTACATAGCAAGCTGTGCTGAACTGTGCCGACGTTGCTGCAACCTTTTCTTTCCATTGATCGGGTGCCCCAGCCCCAGGTAACCCAGGCTCACGGCTCCCCCCAGGTCCTTTCGAAAGCAGTAAGCTGCCGTGCCTTACCTTATTCACTCTCCCAGACACCTGCCAGGGTCCGAAGGTGATCCCGGTTACAGTGCTGCCGTTCCTACTGCCTATTTATACACCTTCACACACCCCAACTCCACCCACAGTCTTTGAATTTGAATACTACTTCCAAAGAGCTAAACTTTCCAGTTTTTCCCCCACTAAAGCATTCAGGGTTAAGTTTGTAATTAAATAACGTTACAGTTGCCAGTCAGATGCTGTTATCTGAAGCTCAGAGATGTTTCTGAAGGCTTTTGGGACATTTTTTGAAAGGTGATTTTAAAAGGTTGGCACAGATCCAAGTCCAGGTAAGCTTAAGTCAAGACTCCTGATTTGCCTGAGGAGTGATTTGTCTTTTTTTGATTGGTTGAAAAATCACTATGGGTCGCTGGTCTTTTAGTCTTCTGAAAAAGTTAAATTGATGACTCAGAATTTTTGATGTTAATTTGATAATTAACTAGGGAGATTATAGAGATACGTGTGTACACTTGCACGTGTAACAGCATATAGGAAAATCGTAATAAATCCTAAAAGAAAGTTTGTAAAGATCTCCACAAAAATGTATTTGGTAGCTATAACCATAAACTGTGTTCATAAGTGGAGGCCTAAATAAACCTCTATTTCAAATTCCATGTTTACTTAGTTGTGTAGACTTTTATTTTTAACTACAACGTGAAAATCAACCATTTTAGGTTGCAGATACACAAAAAATATGGTACAACACTCCGGAAAACAAGACCTTTTCAGGTGGCTGGAAGGCCATCCCTACTTTTGCACCAACTGCAGATGGTCCTTCCTCAGAGGTCAGTGCTGTCCTCAGCAATATATGTTGAAACTACAGTATGTTCTCCTTGGTGCATGCCTCATGTATTTCAGGGAGATTAACATCACATGTCACGGGCATTGAACACTTAACATTACTCAGTTGGGTAGATGAAATCCATCAGATACGGTTTTTCCTGTTTGAAATTCAAAGTGCTCTCTGACTGCTGCTAACAGCATCCATTTTTTCTGAATATACTGAAGACTTCTATAAAAAAATCTTTTGTAAATGGTAATTAGGGAAATGAGGTGCAGAAAGCAAGATGGTGAGCTCAAGCAAAAGGAAAAAAAAAAAAAGCTGGTCCTTACAAATGTATGGTAGGACCATGATTTGCTTGGATGTTTTACATGCTTGCAAGGTGAAACCAAAGCTTATAGGAAGGCCAGTTGTTTTAACTTCCATTTTTGTATGTTTTGAGTCATCTTTAGCCTGATAAAGGAGTGAAATAAGAGAAATAAATTGCATATCAATCTCTGCGTCTCTTTCATCGGTTCTCCATCAAGGTGCAGAGATGTACTTGGTTAGCTTCAAATCACATCCACTCAGTTTTTCTTCTAAAACATATAGCAAAATAAGTTTTCAAGATCCGTATTTGGACTTGCGATTGCTCACTTCGGATAATCAGGTTACATCCTTAATCCACTTTGAGGCAGATGTACGAGTCAAAAATTAGGTACCTATTTCTGAAATCTTGGTCTCGGCTCAGGCACTTCATAATTATAATTTCATACACTCTAGTTGATTGTCTTGTCTGGTTGCACCTAATAGCATTTGGTAGTTTTAAAGCCTGTAACAGAAATTCTAGTTGCTCGCTGGTTATGTGCAGAGATAATGAGCAGGTAGGCTCCCACTCACACAGCTTTTTTGAAAATTGGACTTTGTCTAAAAATGCATTCTCAAAACTAAGCTCCCACCTGCTCCTTGGCTCCTGCCTTAGATGTACTTCCATTCAATTTGTACCTTTGCTTTCTCCTGTTTTCAGGAGATGCACTTACCTAAGCCTATTTCCACACAGCTTTGTGCTGCTCTGTCAGAACTGTTGCTTAGAGGAAACTCAGCAAGTCGAATACTGACAGGGACTTCCCTGCTCCGCTCAACCCCCGTGATCTCAGCGGAGGTACTTGAACATATCTCTAAACTACCCTTGTGCCTTTTTTTCTCTTTTTAGAAGGATCTGGTAGACCCCATTACCGTTAACACTTAACAAATTTTAAAAACTAGCAATTTCCTTTGATTTTCACTTCTCATGTCTGAAGTGAATTCTGGACTGAAAATTTGCATGGCAATTTTTCTGGAAAAACTTTCACCCCAAAATGTACGAGCTGAGACACCTCTGACACCTATGGCATTCTATTTCACCTCCTTGAAATAATTTGAATCCTTATCTGGAAGACTGACTATAGGTAGGTGGTCTCTGGATGGAATGGGAACAGTGAGGAGATGGAATGGGAGATGGAATGATGACCAGTGTTCCCAGTCACTCATTTCTTTTTACATTAGTAGTCATTTATGCTGGAGCTGGTACCAGACACCACATACCCCATTTCCCAGCTCAGTATTTGGTCTGTTAGGCAAGAAAGCGATTTTTCTCACGTTGGCTCAGGAAACTTTTGCGAATACATGCAAATGGAGAGTACTACTAAAAGAGAGACTTAGAGGGACTTGGCATCTTCTAAGTGGTCCAGATGTTCTTCTGGGAGCTGGAAGACCATGATTGAACCATTCTCCTATCTACTTTATTTTCAGTACAAAGCTGAATTTCAATACAGAGCTGGAAAGTCAAAACTTCAGCACGTTTCTACTGCTGAACACTTAAAGATGGTAACTGTGGTTCAGGGAGATACCTGCTACGAATCTGATGATCTGTCTTGAAGGATGATGATTTCCCAAAATATGTCAAACTTTCCCCTTTTTTGTTGAGTGAATTACTCTATTAACTTGCATTACCTACAGTTTATTGGAAATATTTTTCAAATTGGATAGCAGAACAGGTGGTTAGCTTTTAACATGGTGCATTCTTATAAATGTCTGACCCTTTGATCACTGCTTTCCAAACAAAAGACCAGTCTCTCAGGATCTTGTTATCTCTGAAGGCATTCTTTTCCACTTGCATGTGCACGTTTGTAGTACAAGTCACGACCACTTGATAGAAATCGACAGGCTGGCATGAAAAGCATGGAGCATCCTCCAGATAATGGTAACCAGTCCTTATACTCTGTTTTGAGCTGTGAAGTATTGGGATGTCTGGAAGGCGTTGTCGAATGATGTGTTTTAAAATCAGTAAGACATTTGAACACCTAAAGTAAATGTACCTGCTCTTGTATTGTTTAATGCCCTTTTCCGTATAGTAAGGAAACTGTCATGATCTGTTACACCAAGGAGTCTCGAAATTTTCAGCATATATGGGACTTAATTGCTCAGCTTGTGTTTGGTGAGAGAAAGCCTGATTCTGCCAACATTTAGATTTAGCTTTGAAATATTTTGTTCAGTCCCACAGGGAGGTGGTGGGTGAGTGAAGAGGGATTCTTTGATGAGAGGGGTTGGGAAGCTGGGGGTGTACCACAGCCTG